TCATTGTTGTTTGGCGGGTCCGGGCTGGGGATTCAAACCCGCCACCTTAGGTGTATGTGGCTGGCGCCTTAGCCGGTTGAGCTATAGGCGCCGAGCCTTGACCTCTACTTTCAAGTGCTAACTTTTCAAATGCTTTTCAGTGCATTTGACTCCTACCCTCCATTTAATTTAGAAACCTAGAAATGTTCTAAGAGGTTACAAACTGAAAAATAATGATGTAAGTGAAACAGCCCAAAGGCCCCTTTCATGGTGGGTTTTCTTTGACTGGTTCTAACTTAATAGTTGTTCTGATTGAGACTAGAAAGAAAGCTGATTTTATTACACATAGGTCACTACCCTAACTATAATGTGGTTAAATTTCAAAACAAAATATTAACCAATATAAAGATCTTTTTGTTACTGTCTATTCTTGTATCTTTTCATTAAAATTTTATTTTGGTCATAGGTGTCCTTTTATTCTCTTTCTTCTCAAGGCCAGTATTTGAATCTTGATAAAGATCACAATGGCATGCTGAGTAAAGAAGAGCTCTCCCGCTATGGAACAGCAACTATGACCAATGTTTTCTTAGACCGTGTTTTCCAGGAATGTCTCACTTATGATGGAGAAATGGTAATAGTTTAAAACTGCTGATAAGTTTTAAAAATTTAGGCTCCCACAGTTTCCATAAGACCTTTTCTTGATGCGATACTCATTCACATCACCATGTAATAGTATCTTAAGAAGTATAAACCGATCAAATTACTTGAGATTCAGAACCTTTGATCTAAAGGTAAATGCACTTAAAAACATTTGCCTTACGAGTTCCAGGGAAAATAGAAAATTTTAATATTGTCAGTGCACCCATTGTATAGGTATGCCTACTAGTAAAACAAAAAGCCAGAACATTAGTAAATCCTACAGATCATATATTTTCATATACATGATTCAGTCGGGCAGTGTCTGTAGCTCAGTGGGTAGGGCACCAGCCACATACACTGAGGCTGGTGCATTCAAACCAGGCCTATTTCTAAAAATAGCTGGGCTGCTATTTTTAGAAATGAGATCTCACTCTTGCTCAAGCTGGTCTCTAATTCCTGACCTCAGGCAATCCACCTGCTTCATCCTCCCAAAATGCTAGGATTAAAGGCATGAGCCACCATGCTGGCATGTTTTCTCTTTTTACTAAAGACCAGGTGTCTCTCTTGCTTAGGCTGGACTCCAACTCCTGAGCTCAAGCAACCCACCTGCCTTGGCCTCCCAGAGTACTAGGATTATAGGTGTGAGCCACTGTACCCTAAACATTTTAAATAGTATTTCAAAAACTTATTTTAAATGTATTGTTCTAGGCCACACCTGGTGACTCACACCTGTAATCCCAGCACTTTGTGAGGCCAAGGCAGGAGGTTTTCTTGAGTCCAAGGGTTCAAGACCAGCTTGGGCAACATAGCAAAACCTTGTCTCTACAAAAAAAATTGTTTTAAAAAATGAGCTGGGCATGGCGGCATGAACCTGTAGTCCCAGCTACTTAGGAGACTGAGGCAAGATCACTGGAGCCCAGGAGTTTGAGGTCATGCTTAGTTATGATTGTCCTGCTGTACTGCATCCTGGGCAACAGAGGGAGACCCTGTCTCTAAAAATAAAATGTTCTATTGATTCTAGATAAAGTTTTTTCAGGTTTTTTTCTAGATAAAGTTTTTCCACACTGCAATGAAAATATAAATTTAATGACAATGTATGATAGCTTAGTCAGTGTCTCGTCTCCTTTAAAAGTATAATGAAAGAAAAGTATGGTTTACCACAGCAAATTTCTCCCATAAGAAAATGAATGATGTGCCTGAAATCTGTCCTGTACAAGTTACACGTAGAATTCCTAGAAGCCAAAATTAAGTGTACAAATGGATTTCTCTTTTCATATTAACTTTAAAAAATTAAATTTGTCACCTGTGATTGCAAAATAGCTTCATATTATCAGATAGTCACTTGAAAAGTTAATTTTGACTAAGGCCTCTAAAGAATGTCATCTCTTCTTTCCTATAGGACTATAAGACTTACTTGGACTTTGTTCTAGCATTAGAAAACAGAAAGGAACCTGCAGCTCTGCAATATATTTTCAAACTGCTTGATATTGAGAACAAAGGCTATCTGAATGTCTTTTCCCTTAATTATTTCTTTAGGGTAAGTGTCATGTGTGTAATTGAGTCATTGTTCCTGAAGATATGTTATACCATTTGCAGCTATGGTCCCTTGTCATGGCAGCTGTTTGGGAGGCTGAGGCAAGATTGCCTGAGCCCAAGAGTTTGAAGTTGCTGTGAGCTGTGATGTCACAGCACTCTACTGAGGGCAACAATGGGAGACTCTGTCTCCCCCTCCCAAAATAAACAACAGTATGTTATACCATTTGGCTTAAATTATCTACTTAGAGTTGACCTAACTTGTGTTTTTTTTTTTTAATTTAACAAAAGGATTTACAAAATATTTCAGAAGGAAAACAAGTCTGCTTATAGAGTGTTTTTTTCTGATTTATAAAAATATAAATGGGTGGGCGGTGCCTATAGCTAATAGGAGTAGGGCGCCAGCCCCATATGCTGGAGGTGGTGGGTTCAAACCCAGCCCTGGCCAAAAAGTGCAAAAAAAGCAAAAAAAAAAAAAAAAATTTATATATATGTATTTTTAAAAATGGGCTAAATCAAGGCTGACTTGATTAGATGGAGGATGCTAAAAAGGTACGTGTATAAACACGTTAGGGACTGTACTAGCCATTAGAGCTACAAATACACATGAGATATTCCGTGCTTTGGTTAATCAAAAAATAAACATTGGTAAACTATCAAGAATTGTGTGTTGCATTTCAGTGCAGAACAGATTTGTTGAAGCAATTATTTTGTGTCTTAGTTGCTCTCAGAGATTAAGATGATGGGCTCTGAAGTTGTATCTATATAGGATAAGAATTTGAATACAATAGGTGTAAAAGTAGAAATGTCTGCCCTTAACCTGAATGGTAACTTTTCTACTTCATGGCATAGTTTTGACCAGTAGAATTCTACTCCTTCATAATATTATATATTCATAGCTCATTTTTAGAAGACCCATGTGATTTTTTATGTGGTTAAAATCAACTGGATCTTTTAAAATAATAAAATGACATTTTGGGCTGGGCGCAGTGGCTCATGCCTGTAGTCCTAGCACTCTGGAAATAGAGACCGAGGTGGGTGGATTGCCTGAGCTCACAGGTTCTAGTTCAGCTTGACCCAGAGCAAGACCTCATCTCTAAAAATAGCCAGGCATTATGGGTGGGCGCCTGTAGTCCCAGCTACTCCAGACACGGAAGCAAGAGAATTGCTTGAGCCCAGGAGTTTTAAGGTTTCTGTGAGCTGTGATGCCATGACACTCTACCGAGGGCAACAAATGAAACTCTGTCTCAAAAAATAAAATAAAATAAAAATGATATTTTCACATCTTTCTCATAAGTCATCTCCACCCCCAAGACTTTTTCTTTCCATTTAATATTTTGGGGGCTGGGTGTAGTGACTCACACTCATAATCTCAGTACTCTAGGAGGCTGACACGGGATCGCTTAATGGCCCAGAGTTCAAGACTAGGTTGGGCAACATAGCAAGAACCTTTCTCAAAAACAAAGTTTTAAAAATATATGATACTCTTTGGTCTCTGAACTCATCCTTAAGAGTTTCATAGTATACATATTTCATAATTGCATATTAAATTCCCTAAAAGACTTTATATTATGATTTTTTAGGCTAAATATTTTTAGGGTAAATATTTTATGGGTAAATTATAGTATTAGAATATATTTGGGGGTAAATATTTTATGGGTAAATTATAGTATTAGACTATATTTTTAAAAAATTGAATGCTATGTGGGCTTACATCAGTGGCCAACCTGATACCAACTTATTGAGATGCCCCCACCTTATTTTTTATTTTTTTTTGAGACAGAGTCTCACTGTGGCCTCCCCGGTAGAGCACTGTGGCATCACAGCTCACAGCAACCTCAAACTCTTCGGCTTAAGTGATTCTCTTCCCTCAGGCTCCCAAGTATCTGGGACTACAGGTGTCCACCACAACACCCAGCTATTTTTTTGTTGCAGTTATCATTGTTTAGCTGGCCTGGGCCAGGTCCAAACCCACCAGCCTGGGTGTATGTGGCTGGTACCCTATCCACTGAGCTACGGGCGCTGCCAGGTAGCCCCACTTTAGACAAACCTATTAAATGGAAAACAAAGTAAATACGTCTTGGAAATTAAACACTTAAATTTTCATAAAAATTTCTTTATAGCATCTTTTACTCTGAGAATTTTAAACTTTGTTTAAAAAATACTTTAAGAATATTTTATACATACATCTATTTCATCAATAGGTTGGTTATGCAGATTACAGTTTGTAATCTTGGCTTGTAACCCTGGGCTATTCATAGAGTCTTTGTACATCAATATCCCAGTGATAAAGCTGGGCCTGAATAGTATACTCTCTTATAATAGGGGAGAGTTTGAGGGAGATCTATCTCCTTTTTGTTTCTATCCTATAGAAAGCAAAGTATAGGGTAGAAAGGGGGATGGTATATTGATAGTCTTAAAAGAACAGTAAAGTTCTGAACAATATTCGTGGAAAATGGAAAGAGAAGATCATAATAATTGTGAAGCCATATAAAAGAGAGAGAGGGGATATTGTGTATTTTGTTTTTTATTTACAGATTTATTTTCACTAAATACAGGCCATACAAGAACTAATGAAAATCCATGGACAAGATCCTGTTTCATTTCAAGATGTGAAGGTTACGTTTTCCTTTAATTTACATAGTATTACCAAATAATATTACCATAATACCACCAAATAAATAATTTGTTGTACATAATTTTTTTTTTGACTGGGGCTGGGTTTGAACCCACCACCTCCAGTATTATGGGCCAGTGCCCTACTCCTTTGAGCCATAGGTGCTGCCCCCTATACGTAAAATTTTATGTGAAAGTAACTTCTCTGAAATACTATACTGAATCAGGTATTTGCTGTTAATTTGTTCTGAATTAATATCCAAATCATTAGAAACTGAGACTACATTTGGACTGATTGATTTATGTAGTTTATAATTTGAGCATTGTCAGCCTTGTGTTCTAATTGGAAACATTCATTTCATTTCAATTGAAAATGAAGAGAATCAGTATAGCCCAGCATCCTTTGGCAGTCTATTCCACTGTGAATGGAATTTTTAAGTTGGGAACTGCTTAGGTTCAGGTACAATATTATGTTTCTTTGATATCATATTAGATTTTAAAAGATACCAGTCCTACTACATGAAAACCACCATTACTTGAAACACATGCTGCTACTTAGCATTTCAGTAGTCAGACTCACCAGCATTATCCAGTTCCCATTTGGTTCAGGTTGAGTGACATCATAAAATACCCTGAACACTTTTAACTAAGGGTAAGATAAAGGGCTGTTTTGGTTTAATATGTAACATATTTGAAACTTTGCAATAGGCAGTTTTTTAAAAAAGCCAATCTAGAAAAGGAAATTTTACAAACATAAAAAACTTCTTTAAAATGTAATGTGCCTCCTTCAGTGCTACTGAATAATCTTGAGTAATTTTACTATTATACATAAAGGTTAGAAAAAATAATGTGCTAATTCCTAGCCAAGAGTTGTGGTTCACACCTGTAATCTTAGCACTTTGGGAGGCTGAAGCAGGTAGATTGCTTGAGCTAAGGAGTTGGAGACAAGCCTGAGCAAAAGCAAGACCCCCATCTCTACTAAAAATCGAAAAAAAACCTAGCTAGGCATTGTGGTGGGCACCTGTATGTAGTCCCAGCTAATTGGGAGGCTGAGGCAAGAGGATCACTTGAACCCAAAAGTTTGAAGTTGTTGAGCAGTGATGCCGTAGCACTCTACCGAGGGCAACAGATTGGGACTGTTTCAAAAAAAAAAAAAAAAAAAGAAGAAAGAAAAAGAAAAAAATGTACTAATCCTTGTTAATATTTATTTTGTGTATTTCACAATATAGGAGAGGTTCTTTTATCTATTCCAGAAGTTTTAACACAATTTAGCATCATTCTGGATAACTCTTTAATACTGACCCGACTTACCTCCCCATCCCCTCCCCCATCCTAGGTCCAGAGTAAAATGTTGACATGAATATTTGAAATGAAGCTTTGCCACCATCTCTGAAGCATTTAAATGTTTATTTTAACTAAGCCAAGGTTTTACTTTAAAAATTAAACTAAGACCTTGTTTCACCACCAATAAGACAACAGAACAGCATAAGGAGTTAGTTAACATGGATTCAGAGAACATTGCATTAGATAGTTCTGTCACTAATTAGCTACGGAGCCTGGATTAGATTAAACTTTGAGTCTTGGTTTCTTCATCATAAAATGAAGGGCTAGCTACCATATAGCTAAGGAATGTTCCAATAAAATTATATGGCTATAGGTAGAGAAAAGGAAATTGCCTCTTTGTTAAATGGAAAAGAAAAAAGTAGAACAAAAACTTTGTACATAAGCTCAAGCTGCAACCTTGAATTTCAGATCACTATGTTAGAAATTAAGTGAATCAGATTTCATTGTATTTTTTTCTCTTTTGCAGGATGAAATCTTTGACATGGTAAAACCAAAGGATCCTTTGAAAATTTCTCTTCAGGATTTAATCAACAGTAATCAAGGAGACACAGTCACCACCATTCTAATTGATCTAAATGGCTTCTGGACTTACGAAAACAGGGAAGCTCTTGTTGCAAATGACAGTGAAAACTCTGGAGACCTTGACGACACATGATCTCTGAAAGACTAGACAGTCTTCATTACGATATGCTTGGATGCTGCATGCAAAACCTTTGAAGCAGAATCCTTAGAAATGGTCTAAATAAACACTTCCTATGTCTAGAGAACACAGCAAATGTTTTGGTTACTAAAAATTTGATTGCAACAGTTTGGAAGCAGTAAGACGAAATGCTACCTTTTAGGAGGTGGTAAGCTCCTAAAAAGCTTCCATTTAAACCAAAAATGAGAATTGTGATTTGCTGTAGGTGGAAGGTATTCTGTTTAAATCTGTGTAATCTCTAAAGTATTCATGGAATATTTCCGACATTAGTCATTCAGAATTTCAATATTTGAGGAATAGTTTAAATTGTTAATATGGTCAGTAAGCCTTCAGTCTTCTCCTAAAATATTATGTGTATCAAAGATTACAGACTTTCCCATTCATTAGAGTAGAGCCATTTTATTTCAGGTTAGAAGTGTTCAGACATAATCTTTCTCTTAATAGGGTGTTTCAATAAATAGTATTCAAACTAATCTTTTACTTTCATTAAAATCATTGGTATAAAATTTGTCTAGTTTTATCCAGGATTACATTTCATAAGACTTCACTACATTTTGTTAGAGTTTTTTTGTTACAGAATTTGTTAATTCAGTTTGTAAAGGCTCTTCAATTATACTGTTGTATTTAGTCTTTATGAAATAAAAAGATTAGAAAGTAGAATATCATGAACTGTAGTACAAAGGGAACAGTAATTCTTAAAAGGATTGAAAAGAAGTAGGAAAAAGTGAAAGACTTAAGACAAACAATTTAATACAATCTGGGACATTTATAGTTTGCGTCAACAAAAAGGTATAAAAATTTAAGGCACAGTGAATAATTATAAACATTATAAACTGGCCACTAGTGGACAAGTATCGAAAGTAAAATTCAAGAAACATAAACTTTCATAAGCCACTACCTTCCTTATACTACAATCAGAAAAGTTTGTAGGTAAACTCTTAGATACTAGTTTCTCCAGAGAGAGATTTGAAAGATCACTTTTAGACACATCTGCCTTCAGTTCATAACCAAATATCTGATTTGTAGGTACTAACTAACATGAAATAAAAAACAAATTGGAGGAAAGAGATCAGGTTAGCATGTTTTAGAGCTACTGGTGAACCATACTTTATGGGACAATTACATAATCTGAAGATTAACTTTTTAAGCACAAAGTTATAAAGGGTTTACACCCATAAATAAATTACCAGCTCGGCACCCATAGCTCAGTGAGTAGGGTGCCAGCCACATCCACCAAGGCTGATGGGTTCGAGCCTGGCCTGGGCCTGCTAAACAACAATGACAACTCCAACCAAAAAATAGCTGGGTGTTATGGCAGGCTCCTGTAATACCAGCTACCTGGGAGGCTGAGGCAAGAATCGTTTAAGCCCAAAGAGTTTGAGGTTGCTGTGAGCTGTGATGGTACAGCACTCTACTGAGAGCGACACAGACTCTGTCTCAAAAAAAAAAAAAAAGATTACCATCACTTTCTCAATCACCAAAAATGTATTTATGGTTATGGTGTAACTGTAGACTTTTTGGCCCGGGCTAGGTTTGAACCCACCACCTCTGGCATATAGGGACCAGCGCCCTACCCTTTTGAGCCACAGGCACTACCCATAACTGTAGACTTCTAATGAAGAGTTTAATTATCCTACCTGTATTCTTCAACTTTCAGTTAAATAACTTAGTTCATGTTCACTGACAACAGATTTCCTTAATAGGCCCCATTGTTAGTTTCTAACAACATTTAAGATTGAAGTCATTATGCTGTTTGGAAGGCTATTCACATAACTATTAATTTCTAAAAGCTGTTTGAAGTTTGTGAAAAGGCTTTTAGAAAAAAGTGTCTAAAACACTCCACATATCCTTCTTTAACCTATATTAGTTATAAATCAAAGATATTTAGAAATACAAAGTTAGTTACAGAAATCTCAAAAAAGTTCTGTATACACATTTAGGAATATTTTAAAAATTAGCTTTATATTATTTACTTCTGTAAAGTTTGCAAATAACTGAGTAGAAAAATCGCCAACCTGCTCAAGTGAATTGTCCACTTTACTGTTGCTATTTCAAAATGGTAAATGACAGGTAAATTCATTATGCTACAATTGCACCTTGTACAATATGTGCTATTTAACACCTGCTGATGGGTTAAATCTACACCTGCTTCCCAATCACTTCTCCCCAAATTACTTTGCCTATAGGAGGCATTAAAGGTTGAATGAGTGACATAAACAATGCCATATAGATAACCACTAGGTATAACCACCTGAATAAAGATACACTTAATAAATTCATTCCATAACTAGTGTTTTTAACAGTATGTCCAAAGATAGTTATTTAATGTAACTACAAAAAGAATATTAAGTAACTTGTATAAAAATGGAAGCCCATCTTGATATTTGATATTATAAACCCCCAAACGCTCTTCCAGAAAAATGTTTTTCTCAGTGAAAGAAAATTCAAAGTATGTACCATGGTACCATGTACCAGGCTCCTTTATATTACATACTCAGTGAAACAACCTTAGTGTGAAATTAATGGCTAGATATATAAATTCAAAACATAACATGAGAAAATATAAGAGGAAAATTCTCGTTTTAATCTGAGACTATTAAGATGATCTGGTCTAATTAGCCTTCATCAGCAACTTACCTTGTTTTTTGTTAACAGATGCACAAATAACAGACAAGCTTGATAATTTACCTCTTCTCAATTGGTGATTATGGTTTTAGGATGTCTTTAACTTTAAAAAAAAATCATTTTAAAACCAAAGCACTAATTCAACAATAAAACAATACAAATATCCAAATTTCAGAGCTATTTTTTGCTAGATATAGCCTAAGACTGAAGAAACATTTTCCCTTTCCAGATAACTTAATAATTTAAAACATAAATAATTATATGAAGTCCTACTTTATAGAGAATATGAAAGTTCCTGGTATAAAAAAAAAACTTTACGGTTTGAAGTTTGATAATCTATTTCATTCTACGGTGGGACAGAGACTGGATTTTGTTTGCTTTCCATAATTACTTCAGTGTCTCCCTCCATTTCAAAATTGAGATTCACAAATGAACTGGATACCACTGTTTCTGGTTGATCTGTCTTAACGGTGGAATCAGTCTGCATTTTATTCTGCTGATACTGTCTTTCTGCTTCTTCAGACATCCTGTTTTCTTCCTCTTCCTCCTCTTCCTACAAAAAGGAAATACCAAGAATAACTCAAATATAAATAGCCAAAAGGAATAGTATTTTTTCTCCCACTGTCAGTTTCTCGTGTCTTTTTAAAACCAAAACATCATTGTCGTGTCCAATTCAGCTTGGTCTAATTATGACTTATTTTCCCTTCCCCTGTTCCTAAAATGAAACCATAACTATTATATAACATTTTAAGGATGTGAAGTTATTTTTAAAACATGGTCCAGCATGACCGAACTTAAATGAGATCTGAATTAAATTTGACAGTGGCTATATAGTTTTTCAAATTAAATTAAAAACTTAATCTGAAATTTTAATTTAAAAATTTAATCAAATTTTAAATTAGTTAATTTTAATTAAATTAAAAATTAGCCAATACTATATCACTTCAATTATGAGTGTCAGCCTATTTAGTTGAATAGGCTGGTTCATTCACTAAATTTTATAGCATAGTTGGTTTTCCCATAAGCCCCTAATATACAAATAAAACAATCCCTGTCCTTAAGAAGTTTACAATGTAACAGGAAAATTAAGACATGTAATAATAGTATTAAAACAGAAAGAAATAAGCACTATATTTAGAAAGAGTTAATTAAATTATTCTATTTACAGAACTTCTAAGTTCACAAAGGAGATAGTATTTGTACTGGACCCTACAGTAAGGGAGTCAGTACAGTGAGTAACCCAGAACAAGTAATCTGAGGCCTGCTTGAAAATAAGAGAGACCATTTAGGAAGCTAATACAATAGTCCAGATGAGGTAATGAGGCTTTAAACAAGGCTCCTAGTGTCAAAAATAACTTATTTGTTCATAAAACATGTTTGAAACCACACAATAAATAGTCAGCTGAACTTTCCAGATTCATTTCCAGCCATTCTCTCCCTGTACCCCATCATTGGGTCATGGTAAACTATTTTTACCATTTCCCCACACATACAACATACTTTCACGCCTCTACATTCTAGCTTTGCCTGAAGTGCTGCCCTCAGTCTGTGTGAGTAACAAGATTCTAATATTTATTGTGTGCTCACCAATATACACTATGAAATGCTGATCTGACCATTTTATGCACGGATTAACCCATTTAATCCTTACAGCAACACTGAGCATTGATGTACTAATTCTCATAAAGATGAAGAAACAGGCTCTGCGCCTGCAGCTCAAGCAGCTAAGGCACCAGCCACATACACCAGAGCTGGTGGATTTGAATCTAGCCCGGGCCTGCCAAACAACAATGACAACTACAACCAAAAAATAGCCAGGCATTATGGCAGGTGCCTGTAGTCCTAGCTACTTGGGAGGCTGAGACAAGAGAATCACTGAAGCCCAAGAGTTTGAGGGTGCTGTCAGCTATGATGCCGCATCACACTACACAGGGTGACAGCTTGAGGCTCTGTCTCAAAAAAAAAAAAAAGATGAGGCTGAGGCAAGAGAATGGACTAAGCCCAGGAGTTGGAGGTTGCTGTGAGCTGTGACGCCACAGCACTCTACCAAGGGTGACAAAGAGAGACTCTGTCTAAAAAAAAAAACAAAAAGATGAAAAAACAAGCTTATCGAGGTTATAAAGTTACAGGTGACAGAGACAGATTTTAAATTCTGGACTTTTGGTTCTTGAGCTCATACTCTTAATCAGTAAAGATTTTTCTTTCTTTAAGTCTAAACTCATTTCACCCACACCTTGAGACCTCATCCTTCTGCAGAAAGAACTGCCCTCCCATCTTTGTGCACTAACAACTAGCACATACACTTTCCTTGTACTTAACAATTTTCTGTGCATCAAACCAGTTCCACTTCTCCTATATCCAGTACATATGTCCTAAATACAGAGTCTGAGTCTTGCTTCTTCATCTTAAAATCATTAATAGAATAAATAATCCTAGGAGGGGTGTGTGAAGATTAACAGATATGAGGCATCTCACATAACATTAGCACAATGAAATTGTTTAGTTTTGCATATAGATCTTAGGGAAATTCCAGTTTTAAAGAATTCTAAAATGTATATTAATTTGATAAACAAATTAATGGCTCTAGAATGGAAATCAAGGGAGCCATCTTTAGGGCAGCAAGAGAATACATATGCTCATGATGCAGCCCATCAAGTCCACAGAAAACCAAACTCGATCAAGAATATGTAAAACGGAGACACACCTCCTTCTTCATCCGGTAATATTCATCAATGGCATACTGGTACTTTGGGGTGCTGATGCCCAAAACAGATGCAATCTTCTCTCCAAGAAAGTCACACACTAAAGATATAAGAGTTAAAAAACTTATATAATCCCCCAGACATTTCATGAGCACTTTCTATGAATAAGACATTGTAGGAATACAAGAGTTACTGTTCCCACTCTCAAGGACATTACAAAAGCCCAATATCTCTTCTGGATAGCTTCCCCAATTTCTCTAACAAGTATTAGTAGCTACTTCTGAGCTCCCAGAAGATATTTTCTTCGTATCTCTATTCTAACACTTATCACCAGGTATTATAATTACCTGTTACATGTCTATATTTTTAAGAAATATGTATAAAAATATGTATATACTCTTAGAGGATTGGGATATCACTGGGATGGAGGAGAGGAATAGTGTGTACTTACACTATGTAACACTCACTGATTGCGTATACCATGTGCCAGGCACTGTGAAAGGTTAGTTCAAGAACTTGCCCCAACTGACAAAGATCCAAAATTCATATCTAGGTCTGAATCTAAAGCTCACACTCTTTCCATTGCACCACACTGTCTAGCAAGTATAATACCACACTTGAGTATACAGTGAGTTCTCATTAAATGTTTGTTGAATCAATTACCATTCATAATTATCCCTAATAAAAAGCAGAAAGCAATAGAAGCTAAAAAGCAGAGGAAAGCTTTATAATTTAAAACCTGTATTTAAGGGCGGCACCTGTGGTTCAGTGGGTAGGGCACCGGCCCCATACACCAAGGGTGGCGGGTTAAACCCAGCTCCAGCCAAACTGCAACAAAAAAATAGCCAGGCATTGTGGTGGGCATCTGTAGTCCCAGCTACTGGGGAGGCTGAGGCAGAAGAATCACCTAAGCCCAGGAGTTGGAGGTTGTTGTGAGTTGTGACGCCACAGCACTCTACTGAGGGCGATAAAGTAAGGCTCTATCTATATATAAAAAAAAAAAAAAAACCTGTATTTAAATTAGCATTATTAAGTCATTAGTTGATTACTCATTTCTTTCAAGTACAACTTAGTTATATATCAATTTAAGAAATGAAATATTAATGAAATAAAAATATAAATGAACTTTAACTATAGACTTTAGAATAAGCAATGAGACAGAATGAGAATACCAATAGGTGACCAAATAACACGGCAGCAAAACAGTTGCTAATAGAAAGGGTTTAAGAACATAAAAAAATCTAAACTAATATAGTCATTCTTCAGTTCTTTTGTTCCTTAAACATAATCAGAAGCTGAAGAATGTTTCCAGGTGAAGTACAAGTTAGATTAAAATCTTCCAATGCAGAGGGACTCTACTAAAAAATGCAAACATTGTAACCTAATTCTTTGTACCCTCAAATTAACCTGAAACAATAAATTAAAAAAAAGATCTTCCCCAGTGCTAGCTTGCTTTGGAGTGGAATGATTAACTTGCTATTATTTCTCCTTCAGTTTGGAAACATCCCATTTGGCAAAGCTCCTGTTCTTGGAGCATACTGTAACAATTATACAATATTCAAACAGAAAAGCAATACCTGAGAGGGTGGATGTGGCAGCCCGAAGCATGTAAAACCATAAGTAGGGGCCCCAGGTAAGTTTTGTCTGTAACAAGAAGTCAGGTTAGTAATATTCATACTTAAACTCACTCCATATATTTACACAGAATGAAGTAGTCAAATACACGGTAGGAATGGAGAATATTCCATAGGCAGTAAGATAGACTGCAATTCTTTTTTTTTGTCAGACAAAAGGGAACTTGTTTGTTGTTTGTGGTGAACACATACTGCTCTACAAACCTACATCCTGCTCTTGTTCTATAAACCTATCTTTTTCTTCCTCAATAAAGTTTGTTTCACACTTACAAAAAAAAAAAACAGACTGCAATCCGATCAAAATTATACAATTTTTAAACAGAGAATGCTACAAAGATATTTAACATTCACTTGTATAACTACCACCACCTTAAGCCCATAAAAGAACCAAAAAAAGATGGAGCCACCAAAATGGAGTTGGTAAACCAGTGTCTGGATTATTTAGGAGTTGATAACCCAGAGCCTTCCTTTCCCATCTTGCTGCTTTTTTGTCTTCACTGTTTATAAGCACAATACCAGACAGGGGGTACATGTGATGGAATGGACCATAAGGACTCATACCATCTGACATACTTATGTTATAGTGGGGAAATAAGGGTCCAGAGAAACTTAGTAGGATACGTAAAGGGATATCAAATGAGTTTTTTAACAGTGGGAAAATAAGGGAAACATAAGTGACATGGTAAGTTTGTTTAAGGATTAAAAAAAGACTAGAGACTACACAACCTAAGACAAACCGAGTATATGTTGGTAAGCCACGACTACTGGCAGAATGCAATCCACACCACATACCTCCATAGCTAATCTTGGTTCTATGATTCCAAACAGTACCTTAGTGAAGCTTGCCAAATAGATGACAGTTTGACTCTGTAGATGAAACCAGTAATAAAGGCATGCTTCACTGCACTAATGTCTTTGTTTATCATAAGAAAACAGTAATGGGGTCTGTGCCTGTGGCTCAAGCAGCTAAGGCGCCAGCCACATACACCTGAGCTGGTGGGTTCAAATCCAGCCCAGGCCCGCCAAACAACAATGACAGCTACAACCAAAAAACAGCTGGGCGACATGGTGCACGCCTATAGTCTCAGCTACTTGGGAGGTGGAGGCAGGGGAATTGCTTGAGCCCAGTAGTTGACCGTTGCTGTGAGCAGTGATGCCACCCAGGGCGACAGCTTGAAGCTCTGTCTCAAAAAAAAAAAAAAAAAAAGAAAACAGTA